TTTCGTTGATTCTTGTACTAAAGAACAACGATTTAATAAACTAGGTAGTTTATTTGAATTAATTGAAAATTTCCATTTCATAAATGATTTGGAATAACAGTTAATTTACTATTTTTTATTTTATTTTTATTTATTTAAATTAAATTATTATTAAAAAATTAAATTAATTTTAATCATCTTTTGATGCTTTTGGTTTTTTTTCTATTCTCTTTATTAATTCTATTCGTTCCCTTTCTGCTGCCTTTTCTTCATATGACTTGATTATTTCTGCATAATTTTCCATCATTTCTTATGTCATATCGTGATTTTCTTTCATTAATTCTACTTTTTTTCTCCATTAGCAGATCATACTTGGGAGAGTCACATGCTGCTCTCTGTTCATTATCGAAACATTCTAAAAAATCCCAACATAGATACTTCATGTCATCAATGCCTCTGAAGTAATCCATTAAATCGGACATTTTTATACTGTCCAGACGTTGTTGCATGCTTCTTTCTTCGGGAGAGTCACACATGTTGTTTGATATATGTGTTATTCCCTCTTCAACGGTTTAAATGTTAAGATGTAACAGACATTTAGACAGGCAAAAGAGACAAAGCAGGCAATTTCTATTTTTATCTTTTTATCTTTATATTATAATTATAATTTTACAGACATTTTATTGCCTCATACATTACCTCATACAGCCATTTAATTTGTTATTTAAACATTTTTATTGTATATGGCATTCAATGTCTTTTAATGATACTTATAACAAGTCACACCTCTCAATAATACTCCCGGATATTGCTAAGGAGGTGAGAGTGCAGCCAAGTAGAGCAATGAATAATAATATTGAAATAGTATTATTTGGGTTGATTTATTGGTTCCGTGTCTGGGACTGTAAGTACCATTTGAAATACTCTGACCAAATGAATAAGTAACTCGAATATCTCATTGTAGATATTCATTCCAATTTATTGGATTATGGCCCTCTTTTATTCTTACTTAATACACTTCATTCAGGTAAGTATATTCGTGATATTGAGCACTTTAATTGAATGCTTTTTATTGTTTAAATAACAAATTATATTATTTTTAAAATATTGAATAACAAAAATAAATACCAAAATTTTAAATTAATTAAATTAATTAATAAATATTCAATTATAATATTTCCGCTATTCTTCTTCTTGGTTTACTCTCTTCAGCTTTCTTTTCTCTTTCCTTTTTTCTTTTATTGTTTTAATTAAAACGGAATTCTTTCTTTTGAACATTTTAATTTTATTGTCAAATTCTTCTATCGTTTCGATATAGCCTTCAGTCATAGACTTGACTTGATACAGCTTAATGGATCATTGCCTAATGATAGATCAAAACCATAACATAACATATTCCACATTTCAGTCAGTCTCTTTAAATCTGTTAAAAAAGAATTGATATCCGCTAATTTTAAAGCTATGTCTTCTATTTCTGTTTCTTCCTCAGAAACACTTCTAAAGACGTTTATAGTTGTTCCGAACACCAATTAATCTAATGATTATATCTAGATGGTAGTGTCATTAAATAATAGAATAGTATTATTCGTAATAGTTTATTTGACTATTCTTTGGACTTGTTCCAATCAAAATGTTCATTACGAATGAAGTCTCAATTTCATACATGAAATGACTAGTATAACATTCGTGACAATAAGTATCGCCTCATATCAAGTATAATAATTTAATAGTATTTTTACTATTCATTGTATTTGATGACGTCATCAGTCACAAAAATTTTACTATATTACTTATTGTCACATTATTATACTCATCACAATCATGCGTAGCTTGAATAACTCACATTCTGGAGTTTATCACTACTATATTATCACTAAAATAACTATATAGAAGTATGGTAATGCTAAAAGAAATAATAAGGAATTAATAATTTACTATAGACTAACCACTAGAATATTGAACAAAGGTGCATTACTAGATCGCCAACTTTGTCAATAGAGTTATTTTAGCGATAATATAGTAGTGGATCTACTACAAAATCGGGATGAAATATATACACTCAAGAACTACTGATCTTGAGTGTATTAAATATATAGATAATAGTAAAATATAATAGTAGTTGAATAACATATTAATATATATATATAGATTATGTAATTTCAATAAGATCATTACTATAAGATGCAAAGAATGGACAAAGATGATATTATAGATTATGTTAACACCAATTGATTAGAACAGCTCAGTGTAAAAACGTTATTGGACTACCATAACTCCGACTGAGAAATTAAGGATTTTTGCGATGATTTATTCGAATACTTTAAAAAAGAACATATATATCCAGATGATGATATCAGATTTGATGAACTGTGTGCTAAAGAAACCGAAATATTAGAAGACATGGGAAATGTCTTGAACAAAATAATGACAGAGCACAAAGGAACCATGAAAGCCATAAGAAATGCTAGTAAAAAGAAGAGAAGAAATTACTAAGATTAAAGTAAAAAAGAAAATAAATGAATAAGTTTTTAACAATAATTGTCTGTTTGAATTTTACAAGTAAAATAAATAATAAATAACAATAAATAAAAAGAAATCAGTTAACCAAAGATAAAGAGATATCATTATAATAAGTATAATCTCTTAAAGCAATAAGAAGCTTGGCTAATCTTTCACCACCAATAAGTAAAGAATAACAGTCTTCAATGTATGAATCCAAATATGATGAAACAAGAGAGTCAAACTTATAGTCTTCAAAAGTTCATCTTCGTTTAAAATAAGTAATCGAATAAATCAGACAGCGAACAGGTAACGAGTTATCATGTTTTAAATGGAAGTCCACCTGTTCTTTAATATCATGCATAATTTCAGAAAGTGGAGTACCAAGAATATCATTGCATATTCCTTTTAAATGAACGATGTGAATAATATTTCCTTAAATAATAATAAGATTTAAAACCTAGAGACTCAAAGAGACAAACAGACACTTAAAAAACAAAACAGATAAAATAAAATATAAGTGATACCTTAAAGATCAAAAACAACAAATGAAGTCGAACAGACAAAATTACTATCACTTTAAATCAATAGCAGGATTCGCTTATATTAATTTCGAAAATTTACAAATTACACCTACATTAAATATAATGAAAGAAGCACTAACAAAATGGTGTTCAACAAAATCAAATAAAGCAAATATAAAATATTTAGCATATGGAAAAACAACAGAAGGAAACAATCGTCATGATCATGTCTTCTTCATTCTAGAAGATCAAGTAGATGTTATGAGAAAACCTTTCGTAAAAATAAAAGGAGTAGATATGAAAATCAACTTTAGTCCTTTTACTAGACTAGATGCTTTCGATGGTTCTTACTTAAGTGTTATAGAATATATTAAAAACCAAGGTAAACACCACAATACCAAATCTAGTTTCGAGGAGTATGGAAATTTAAAAACAACAAAGGGTTGTAAAGTAAGTGACTCGATTAATGAAAAAGCATTAAGAATGACATCAAAAGTAGAAGCAATTGCATATTTAAGAAATGTCAATCCATCATGGGTAATGAACAACGAAAAAAAGTTTGGAGAGATGTATGATAAACAACACAGTAGGGACAAAAGACATAGAATAAATATCAAACTTAGTCAATGGAAAGAAACGAATTCTGTAGTTCAAGGTGCTAGAGCATGGCTTCATACAATAGAAACAATAGACATTAAAAAGCCACCAGCATTAGTAATTGTATCGGACACTAAACATGGCAAAACAGAATTTATCAACGATCTTCTAAAAGACAAACAAGTTGACGAATTCAGAGGGAGAATTATGGTTGATAGTCACGAAGAGAGCAGAGAATATGACTACAGTCTTTTCGATGATGCAAATTTATGTTCAATAGAATGGGAAGATTTTGAAAGCCATAATATCTACTAGAGGAGAAAAAGTGAGAGTTAATGTAAAATATGGTATTTAGATGTCATTTACTGTGCCAACGATTATTGTATTAAATCCGGGTAGCTATAAAGAGTTAAAAATATTAGCTGGAAATAAATGAGATAGATATTGGATTGATAAAAATACTGTCGTTCTTACTACAAAAGAAAAATTATACATATAACAAGATAGTAATGATGATAGAATAAAAATGTTGCAAGAACTATATGGTGAATTGCCACCAAATTTAATAAATACCATTACTAACAATGACAAATTACATGAGGAACTACTTCTGTTCGATGATATGGAGGATATATTAAATGATACACAAATATCAGAAACATTGCAAGAAGGAAATAGACACGACATCTTTGATTTGCCCCTAAAGAGAAAAGAACCAATATTAAATTCTCAGGATGCAACTTACATTGAAGACATGTCAGAAGAAGGTAATGATAAACAGAGAGAAACCAAATAATTGAGAAATACATAGCCTCAATATGGAAATAATTTAATTAACTTTTTTCTCTTATCTTTTATTTTCATTTGTTTCAATGAGCAATTGGTATAGACCAAACGTTTTTTTTAAAAAGACGATGGAGAAGTTATTGAAGTATATCCAATAACTACTCCAACAACTACATAAATGACAATTATGACCCAGACAATGGAGAAGAATATTACATAGAAAGTGATGATGTATATTTACATCAAGACACTTATACAGCTTATACATTCTATGACCCAGATGATAAAATAGAAAGAATAGATAAACCAAACTTAGTTAATGATGAAGAATTTAATAAAACAAATGAATCAGGAATTGAAGATATAGATGTTTATCCACAGGTAGATCAAGTATATACATTTGATGATCCAGACATAGATGAATATGAAAATGCAAGATTTATGGATATAAAAACAGATGATGAAGAATATGACAATGAAAAAGAGCAGCTACAAAGAGAATTACCACTATATGAATTAATTAATCCAGAATATCCTTCAGATATATTAACCTATACTAGTCCAGTATTAAAAAATATTAGAAAAGGCATGAATAGACACTTCAAATGACACTGAAATAGCAAAATAATTAATAGAAATAGGATATACAATAAAAGAAAATAATAAACAAATATAGACAATTACATAAAAGCAGAAGAAAGACTTATAGTAAAGGGTTTAATAATAAAATATAAGACTCTCTTAAACATTAAAGAAGATGATATTCCAACAATAATTGAAAGAGAAGAAGAACCAATAGAAGAAATAGAAATCAATAAAGACAATGCTGATCCAGATAGACATGGTATTCTTCCCAGACAACCAAAAGATTACAAAATTAATAGACAATGGTTAGATAAATATCGAGATAGTAATAAAAGAAAACATCAATTAAACGAAGAAGAAGACTACAAAGAAAAAGAGATTTCGAGAAGACAATATATATAGAACAACCAAAATAAATTGAACTATTAGAAGAAAAAGAAGAAAGAAAAAAGTACTAGAATCAATAGAAGAAAACAAAACAACAGAAGTAGAAGATGATATAGATAACTGGAGAAACCAAGAAAAATATATATAATCAATCGAAAAATCAAACAAAAGAATATAATAAAAAGAAATTAGTCACAAAACCCCCAATAATAATCAGGAACATCAGAAGGACAAAGTATTGAAGAATGTCGTTGTTGAAAAACGTAAAGATCATGTTTCAAAAGGATTAAAAGAATTGAGACAACAATTGAAAGAAATAAAGACTCGTCTTCAACCTCTTTATAAATGGGTACGAAAATTAGCAATAAAATGCATCTAAATATTTTACAAAAATGA